GGTCCTTTTGCAAGAACAACAATACGTGCACCTTGATGACAATGCAGCTGAACCTACCTCTTTGCTGTGGAAACACATCTGCTAATATTTTTAGTGTAGACACAAACTGAATGCCTACTGAATGAGAAGATGTTCGATATAGTTTAAGGAGGTCAAATCTGCATACACTTCGGTTCTTGAAATCTGGTGGGGGTTAGTCTTTTCTCCCAGGTAACAAGTGATAGGACCTCACAAAGCTCATCTCTTCTGAATCTGACTGGAACTTCAAAGTCCAATCATATTAGACCTTTAGCAAGAGGTCCTTTTGCAAGAACAACAATACGTGCACCTTGATGACAATGCAGCTGAACCTACCTCTTTGCTGTGGAAACACATCTGCTAATATTTTTAGTGTAGACACAAACTGAATGCCTACTGAATGAGAAGATGTTCGATATAGTTTAAGGAGGTCAAATCTGCATACACTTCGGTTCTTGAAATCTGGTGGGGGTTAGTCTTTTCTCCCAGGTAACAAGTGATAGGACAAAAGGAAACAGCCTCAAGTTGCACCAGAGAAGGTTTAGATTGGAAATTAGGACAAATTTCTTCACCAAAAGCATTATCAGAAGATAACGTTATTAGAAGAGGCTGCCCAGGGAAGTGGTACCTCGGGGTATTTAAAAGTAAGTAGATGTGGTGCTTAGGGACATGGTTTATTGGTGTTTATTGTCAGTGTTAGGTTAATGGTTGGAGTCAATGATAGTAAAGGTCCCTTCCAACCTAAACGATTCTATGATTAGATTTCCTGAAATGGGAATAGCATCATAGTGTTACACCTGCGTATGACTGACACACATGCTTTTGCCAAGAAAGTTTGGACCAGATGATTCTTGAGGTTTCTTCCAATCTAGTATTCTATGGTTGAATAAATGCATGTGTTTTCTAGCACTACACCTCAGGTTGCAGTCTTTACTGGTTACCAATTGTCTTTTTGCCAACAAAATTCTTCATTCATAAATGATACCGATGAATTACAATGTGACAGAAGGAGGCAGGAAAGTGAGTTAATAGAAGTTCCCACTTCAAAATATAAAAATACTGGTCTTGTATATTCATATTTATACTATTATAAATTATACTTATTTATAACTAATTATAATACTTGTAGGTATCATTAAAATAACAGATATGATGATATAACTATTACTATAATATTTATAAATTGGGTTTATATGTTGATATTATTTAACTATTGAATTAAACTCTGTATTTGCCACACTTGCACTCCCAACAAAGATAATGATGGAAGGATAGGAAATGCATTCGCAAATGCTATTGCCAATGCACAATTTACTGGAAGATTTTATATTCTCCATGTTAAGTGGGCCTGAAAATAGGCATGGTACTGCCATTCCACTGTGTGGATATCAAAAGTGGTCTGGATTTTTCTTTTTATCATCTTTATATGAAAGGATCATCTAAAAGATAACAGGGATTATGATAAAAAGGAGAGCTGTGGCCTTTTTTCTCAGCAATAGCAATCAACTCCTGCTGCAAAGCAGATGACTGATGTTTAAGTCTTTCACCTGTTAAAAATTTGAATTATGGCACCAAGGCTCTGTTTCTAAGCCTTGTTTTTGCTAGTTTATTTCATCATAGCATGCAAAACACATGCTGCATATTTATAATAAAATAAAATAGAAAAACAACCCAACACAATGTCCTGAATTGAAAGTGAAATGTTTGTGGAGATTCAAAGGATGTGATGATTGCTTCTACTATCTACTGTTTGCCATGTTGGTTAATTGATTGAGACACCTAAGAGAATTGGACTGGTAGGTTATCTTTTCTGCACAGGGCAAAAAAGTACTGTATGACTGAAGGGCTCTATATAATATGAATTAGTCCCTAGGTGTCTGATCCATCAAATTAAGTGACCACCATTTTGTGTGGAATGTTGCATTTGTAGCTGTTTGCTGTTATTCTGAGAAATTACAGGCATATAAAAAGGCATGAATATTGAAATAATTTTCAAGTGTATATCATATGTCATTAATGTGTGATTAAAGAGGATCTAATGTTTGCCCACCTCTTCTCTTCTTCCTTAACTATTAGTTGGGCTAAGAGATGATCGGCTGAGCTCAGAGGGTCAGTGATATAGGCAGAGGAGGAGTGGCATGCTGGGCAGAGAATATAGTATTCTCTGCTGCAGAGAACATAATATTCAATGTGACTTTTTCACAAGTTACTGTTCTTCTGAAAGTCTCTTATTTAAATATTGTCTTTTTAGTATATTGAATTTTCTCCATATATCTTATTGGAATCCCAGGGCTTTGTTTTCTAGTCCTTTAGTAATTTGGTAATTCTTTTTTAATGACCTTACTTCTCTTTAGTAGATTTTCCACATAGCAAAGATTTGTTTCTATTTTTCTTTTAGAATGTCTATTTTCTGAATAATCACGGAACTCATGCAAATCAAGCAAAGCATTTTTTCTTTTTTTTGTCATTATTTTGCGTTGGTTTAGAATTTGAGGTTTAGCCAGGCTACTTAGAGATTATCTGATTTTCTCCATTTCCTCCCTTCCCTTCCTACCTTTCTATGAGTTTCAAACATAACTACACATGATACATACTGAGTTTATCTGTTATATTTCTTGAAGAGCAGCTTCTGCCAGCCTTGGTTCCAACGGACAACATTAACTTACAGGAGGACTCAGGGGAATATGTGTCTGTGTGGGTAACTGTGAAACTTTTAGCCTGTCTGGTGAGCAATCTAGTCCTTAATCTGTTTGCTAATTCCCTTAGTTATCATTACACATTCCTTGGTTTTACAGACAACTCAGAGCGGTACAATCTCATGTACCACAGATACAGAAATACTGTTTTGTAATCGCTGAGATATGAATTTAATAGTTCCTTCATATTTTGCCTTCCCCACTAGATAAGAGGCTGATAATTCTTACAAAGTTTAAATCTATTTCAGAAGCAATTTATTTCAGTAGATTTTATTTCTTTTTTTATTAGTCCATGGCAGTTTAATTTAAGATTTAGAAGCTGAAAGTGCACTTTCTCTAAAAATAGAAGATAGATATCTATAATACATCACAACATAGCCATTATTAAAACAAGTATGTGTATTCACATGTAAAAAATCCGCATCTAAATTTTATTTATTTTATGTACACAAATGATACCTGTGCACAGAGCTGCTATACTGCTAAGACTTTCACAAAAAATGTAAGGTATGTAACAATATGGTACATTAAAGTAGACCATTAGTATTTACTGAATTTATGCTTGTCTGGTTAAAATCAAATAATGCAGCCTTTTTGGCTTACTTTTATATTATTGTTGCCTTTGGCAATGGTAGAAATATTCGCAGAAAATTCCTTTGTAAGGAAAGATTTAAAAAAACCCAGAATTTATAAATTAACCATGAAAGACAGTTCTGTCTCCTGTAACATCTTGTCTTTGCATGAAAGAGGGGAGAGAGCCTACATCAGCACTTTTCATGGTTAGGGGAAAGCTGCTGCAGAGCTAAAGGTCAGTTTCATCTATCTAACTGCACAAACTGAAAATGTGGGATTCACATACTAGCAAACTGACAACACCGCACACAACCTTTAAGCAAGTTATAATGATAGGATTTATCTGCTGCAACTTCATAATGATTTTTGGATTTGGCTGGGCTGTGTAAACATCATTGAGTTGTACTTCCATAAACTAGAGTTTCTCTCTTCACATATGATTGAGTAATTTTCATCTGTAAGCTTTTCCATTGTATCCTGGTTGGAAAATGGTCCATATTATCGCTATTATTTTTAATCAATATTTTTTTTTACAATTTTCAAAGCTAAAGTTCAGATACTTAGGTGGTATCTCTGAAGAGAAAGACACACAAAAACCCCTAAACACCTACACCGTGCTTGCGTGCATCGCTTTTGAAACTTGTTACTTAAGCAGTAAGTTTCAATAACAGTCTGTTTCTTGCCACAAATGTAACCCCTAAATACAGGCTTACAAGATTAGCCACCCTTCTCTAAACCAGAAAAATGTATTCATAATGGAAATATGTATTTATTTGTTCTGTACAGATAACATGTATGGAAATTATAGGTAATCAGAACACTTTTCTAACTTGTGTATTAACATACTGTCATAACTTTAAGTTTGTACCCAGATAGCAGCTATCAGCTGAAATACCAGACTACTGTTAAAAATAGCTGTCACTTGAGAAATAACTCTTGGGGATCTTCAAATCAAAGAAACTGGAACATGTTGGTACATAAAAGTGAGAGAATAGTGCATACACAAGAGTGAGAGAAAGTATGCACTGAGTCCATAGACATTCCTGTCCTACCACTTTTGTTCTAGACCAATCTGTTTATATGTATGATGCCATTTTTACCTCTAAGAAGTTGAATCACAAAGTTTCTTTCTTTATATATGATTAGATTTACAAATGATCTTGTCTGTTTTTTCTTCTCTATAACTTAAACTGCAAATATGAAACTGCCAATGTCATTGTCTTGAAGTGCTTCAGTTGTGAAGTAACGAAATAACTAGATTATTCAGAATTAATAATAAAACTTTTTGTTAAATAATCTAGATTCTGTGTAATTTGCTATCTCAACACTTTCATTTCTTTTTTTTTGGTTTATGGACAAACTCTAAGAGGTGTGAAGGAAATATGTTTTATCAGAAAACATTGTAAAATATAATGAAAACTCCCTACTAATAATTGTGATCGTTTTCATACTAACCCTCAGAGCATACATTATGCTCCCCCTATATTACACCATAAAATAATTATTTTCATGCAATAATTTCAAAATAACACAGAAGACCCTTTCCTAATACCATCCCCTAAACTGCAGGTCAAATCTTTCCATTTTATATACAGTATTATATTTTGATATTATTTTAAAAATAAAAAAAATCTATAGTTATGTAATTCTTATTAATGTACACTTACTAGTTTAAAACACATTATGAAACTCAAACATGATTGATTACTTACATATCTCTGTAGACAAAGCAGACGTTTAGTTGTGGTAAATTATTCCTGTAAGTCTTGATAACCTTCCATTGACTTCCATGGGTATTGTATCAGTCCTTAAATGAGTGAAAAGACAAAAATTTATGTCTCCCACAACAATAACTGCAAGGTTATTTGTACTGAACATACCTATAAAAGGGAATAGTCCTATAATCCCTTCTCTCCCTTCAAAAACAGAAAACAGGCAGGAAAAATTTTTACTTTAACACATTTTGCTTTAACATTGTCAAAGTATTATCAGGATCACAGCAACTGTTAAGAATTGTGGGTTTAGGCCACATATTGGATTTACAATACAGACAGATCGTTATAGATGGGCACATCTGTAAAAAACAGTGTAAGAGAAATAAATTTTGAACAGAAAAGTTTGTAAGAACTTTTTTCTTTTTTTTTCTCTTTTCATAATAATTTTTTTTCTGTCAAATTTATGTATTACTTCCATTGAGGAGTCAACCTTCGTATATACATACATATATACACACATATATATATATATATGTATGCTACCTGATACTACGCCCACCTAGGGGAACTGTTTCCTTTGGCCTTTTCAGTTAATTGTTTAATAAGATAAATAACATTTTAGGTTTTTTTATTTGGGCTTTAAAATATAGGTCTAAAAGTAAAACTTCCTTCCAGTTTTATAGCTATTATTTGCACTACACACATGTTGAGCCCAAACTCTCTCTTCCTGGGAGGTTTCCCATTGTCATGATATGTTCTAAGTCCCTATAAACATTAATAAAGTTAATTCATTTAATAATGATTCCAGACCTGTTAAGCAATGATCCATGTTGTTTGCTTTAATTAAAAATCCTGACAATGTTTATCGGAGAAATACATTGTTAAAGAAAAAGAAAATTTCCATTGTGGAACAGTTTGTGGAACCCAGGTTGATAAATCACATTATAAGAAGATTCCCCTGATTCTACTAATGTAAATATGCATGTGGCAGTGATTTACCAGTATTTGTGTTCCAGCTGGGAAAGTAAACAAATATTACAGGATTTCTTCTTTCTCAATTGTTCCATTTGAGATTTAGGAGACTGCCAGTTTAACATGGGTTTATGTTCTTCTCCCTTCAGTAGTCTTCATATGTGAGGTTTCATTTGATGTGAACAATGTAGACGTTTTGAAGAAAAGACAGGCACTCTAGAAACTAGTTTAAGCCAAATACGAAAGACAACACAGTAGGGAGACACCCATCCTGGTATCTGAGTTGAGACAACACCATATGGAGAACTTTTAGCTACTTTCCAGAGCAGGACCAGAAATTCACAGCTGACAGCTTTGCTGCTGCTAATCAAGTATTACCATTTTCTTACTGAGTACTATCAACCCCTCCTAACCACCTGCTTAGCTAACTGTACTGATGTTTGCAAAATTATTTCAGTCAAAATGATGGAAGTTAAGTTTAGACAGAATATTTTTGCAACCCCAAACTATTTTGCATGGCCTGAGCTTGGAAATGTTTCAATGAGGTTGTTAGCTTATAAGGATACTAACCTCTATCAGGGAGAAATTATAAACCATGGTGGACAGGCTGCGATTCAATGTCTTCATTTAGTACAGCAAGATCTGGAAGAAAAATGGTGGTCAGCAATAATTTAAGACTCTGAACAAAAGGGAAAAATGTCACTTAATCTGAGAGTTACACCACAGACACTAAAAGGTACTCTGTAACTAAGAGGTAGGAACCTGGTTTGGGTATGGAAGATACTGGTTCAAGCTCCACATCTTTTCTTTCTCAGTTTGACCAGTGAATTTCCTCTAACACATGAATTTTACTTTTTCTTAATGAAATTTCCTTTGAAAACAAAGTTTTTTAAAAAATTAAAATTTTAGTATGTCTTGACCAGAAAGATTCTCATGTGTTATTTATAATGCACTACTACAGAATGAGCATGGAGCAAATACATGTAAAATAATGGAACTCATCCCAGGAATGTAAAGAATTTCCTAGAGCTCTCAGTTTCCCTGGAACATACCGACTCTTGAGACCTGGCTTACTTATCAAAGAAAATCTTCATAATTGATAAAAGAATAATAAAAAATAACTTTATATTAAAGTTTTCTCCTTTGTTCTTTAGGTTTTTAATCAGACATTAATTCTAAAATACTTAAGTGTCTTTTTGGATAATTTCTTGAGCAATTTTCATTATCTTCAAGTGAATATTTAAGGAAAAATATTTTATACCATTCGTTCAGGAATAACTTAGGTTGATGGGATTTACAAAACATATAGCTATGAATGCATGTTTTTTAATCAAAGGATCAAATAATACCATGTCATGCTTAGTGGAATCTGGTACTGAGGGAATACTAGTTCTGCACTATAGGATGGACACAAATGAAGAGTGTCACATATAAATAACCATACTATCATTTTTCTTTATGATTACTTTGTATTTGTCCTTCTTGCTGACAAGCTCCAGGTACACATGACTGGCATGAGGTCCATTGATCTTTTACTGGGATGTGCAAGACTGAGCAAGACTTGAGCACCTGAAGAGGACACAGCATCAGGACTCAGGAAAGAAGCACGCCAGGAAAGGTGTTTTGCAACAGAAAACCTAAAGTATACTTAACAAGTTGAAGACATACTGAGACATAACCTATGAATTTCTTTGTTTGAATTTATGGCATTTTCAGCTATGACAAATATTTCCTGCATATGTAAACAAGTGAACTGTGTCAACCATGGTCCCTTGAAAGTGGCCTTGCAGAAACTGCTTTCTTTAAAGTGGTCCCTGAGCATCTCAAATTGAATCACTAAAGCAATCTCAAAGAGCCATTTTTATCAATTCTCAGAATTTATAGGTATGAAGCCCTGGCAGTGAATTATGAGACTAAGCCCATAGGGTAGTATGGGTTTAGCTGAAGAAGCCTTGGAGGGACACTTACAGGGGCCTTCAAAACAAAAGTTCTTCTTGTTTCAGTTTCATCTGATGACTTGAGTATTGTGTATCAGTTCATTGTTCAAACATTAATGTCAAGGTAAATGAAATGTGCTCTTCCTCACTGTCTGTGTCTTCTGCTGAAGTCTGCTGATGTAGGTATTATACATATCCAAGCCTCACACTGTAACAAATAAAACCAGGCATAGGTCACTAAAAGATCATTAGAAAAAAGGTAGGTCCTCCAAGTCCGTTTCATAAAAATAATTTTTCTGAGGAACAGAGTTTTACTTTGAAGACCAGCCAAGAAGTGAATTCAGGGATAATTATTCGCAATGATAATTGCCAGCAAAGTGGATTTGTTAGTATATACACATTCCAGAGGGGCTAGTCTGCTGTTTGAGCACAGAAAACCTATGCACGTAACTCCTGTTTATGCTAAATCTTAAACATATTATGACTGATCTTCTTCAGATTTAATGATATTTGTGAAATGGCAGAGATGGCGCAGAGTAGCAATAATGCAATAAAATACCTCTGCAATATTCATTTGCTATCTGCAAGAGGGGATATATGCAGTGTTTCATCTTACCACAACTTTTATGCAAACATAACTTTTAATTGCCAAAGCAAAGCAAATACATCAGATGGGAAAGTAGCTGCTTGCAAAACAACTCTTGCCTAACAGTTCTTTATAATGATGTGAAATTTCATCTCTTACTATTGTTAAGTGAGTAATTTCCAAGCACGACCCTTACAGCTTTTTTATGTTGCTGTGGCTGAGAAGGATACTAACTGTAGGTGTAAAGTGAGATGATTATCTTTCATAGCTCTGAACAGAGATGAATCCATAGAAGAGTCATTTACAAGATACAGCAGGAAGAGAAATCAGCTGGGTAGACTGGGTAGAATGTTTAATGTGAAGTGAAGAAGGAAACTTCTTGTCATCACACTCAGATTTTACTTTGTTTGGCTTCTAACTAGCAAATGTTAGTATTTAAAAATGAGATTTCCTCAAAAACAATTGAAATTGAGATTTTTTCAGCAGATCCCTTTTTTATAGTTTCACATGACTTTTAGCTCTCCAGAGGAGACAAGCCTATGGCCAGTCTTTTATTATTACATGAGATCAGTATGTTCAGAGGATTTCCTTGGACATTAATTGACTGAACATGTCCTAAAATTTTCTATCAGCTGTTCAGGAGTGCAGAATGATGTCACCCTGGTTTGTGAAGTCCCTATGCAAACTGAGTTTCTTTTGTTAAATCTGGAAAGTATTCCTTTAATGAACAATTAGGAAATCGTACAATTCATTTTCTAATCACTCTTACATGTGACAGAGATGTGTGGGAGAAAGGTGGGATCTACTCAGATGTTGCTTTTAAGTTAAATATAATTTGAATAGTAATTACTGAAGCTTAAGGTGGAATATTAATGGCATTCAGACCATTAAGATAATATATTAACATTAATACCATCTACGCTTGCAAGACCAATAGGACTTACTGCATTAACAGAAAACCCAGGAAAACCTACTAATTTAAGAGCTCAGTGGCCACCAATTTATTCCTCTTACCTTAAACTATAGTCTGTTAGGAGACTGAAAAGGTTTAAGAGTAGCAGCGGAGGAAAAGATTTGTTTGCAGAAAACCATGTATCCACAACCTAAATGACTTACAAAGTAATTTGAAAGATTCTCTCAACCTAATTTCCTCTGTTTCCATACATCAAAAGTAATTACAATTTTAAGATGCATGCTACAATTACTCACAGAGCTTATCTGTAAATGAAATTCAAGAACATGACATGAACATCATGTGCTGCCAGAAGGCACTGAGACACAGCTAATCTGCCTCATATCACACTTTATGTCACTGTTCCCATTTATAAGAGGGACTGCACTTGCTTGAAGATATGTTGTGAGCACAGTCATGTTTTCACTGTGATCCTTGACAAGATCTCCCTCACCTCAGTGTAAATCTCCACATTTACACTATTATCTTCTGTACTAGAAGTAAAATAAACCAAAATAAACTCTGTCTGGAAAATATTTTTCTTTGCAGCTTTTATCAGAAAAGTATTAGCATGTAAATACACATGAAAAAGAGGCCTCTGCAGGTTCTCAAATCCTTTGTTATCCATAAAAATACATCATGAAATCATTAAGGAAATGGTACTAGATTTACTCCTCTTGTTTAAATACAAATGGTTCCAGAAACATTATAAGGAAAGTTTTCTAGATGCTTTTTCGCAGAAAATTGAAGATAGGAGAACAGACTGCGAGCATAGCTGTGTTTGCACACTAAATAGGAGATAAAAAGAATGGCAGAGGCCTGAGCTTTAGTATGTTTGAGAATCTTAAGTACTCTGAATTTCCTGGATAATTTGCATTGTTCAATACAACTGAAAACTGAAGCTAGTGCCATTTCATTGCAGTTATTACTTATGGCATTGAGTAAATCATTTGGCTTTGACAGTAGACTGCTACAGGGTACAGTTCCACATCTGTATGCTTTGCTGTCTATATATGTACACATATATACACATATATACACAATATATGTATATGTATGTATACATTTATGTATATAAATGACTTTCACTTTCTTGCTTGTCAGTGCCTTCTGAAATACTTAACTGGATTTTCTTTAAATGTCATAATCAGAATGAAACTCATCTGGCACAAAATGGAGCAAAAAAGTGTTCAAATGAGCTCCTTTCCAACAATTTTAGTTTAAGGGTATTGAAGCCTCCACAAATATTCTCTGATCTCAAGCAAATGGTCTATTATAATACAATCCAGAAAACAAACTCCAGTCAGAAGATAACAAATAGCCAAACTCCACTGATGCAGTGCATTCTTAACAAACCAGTTGGCACATTTGATTTCTATTTCTAGTATATTTCACATATATAAGTATTTAACAGAAGCAAAACCACAGCAGAAATAGCAAATGATACAGATCATACCAACTTTTGAAACTTCTGTGATATGTATTTATGTAATAAATGACAAATATTCAAACGAAACCAAAGTTTTTGCATTATATCTTGCATGATGAGCTAGCTACTCAGAGAATAAAGCTAATTTTAAAAAAACAACAACAACAACACCTACATCTAACTATTTTTGATAATGAATATTTCACCATCACTATTGTCGCTAAGGTATTCTGGATCTCCATTGCTGTCACATAATACTAAAGTCATAAAATGTTGTTCTTGTTATCTGGAGAAGTAAAGAAAGGCTAACTGACTTTTTTTGAAGGAAAACTCTGGTACAGAAGAAAACTGAATTCAAATCTTTTAAGCCCCACACCAGCACTCATTAGACTAATCTTGCTTGTTTGGTAAGGACTTGCTGTTCTCAGGTATTATAAAAGTTCAGGAAGGTTTGAGGTTGGTTTACTTACCATTTAGTTTGCATCAGTTTTTAGAAAATGAAATTATTAGAAAATACACTGTTACAGTGTGCATATACACAAATATTCAAAGTTTACTATATCAAACTTGCATATAAAGTAAAAAAGGCAACAGTTTTTCACAACTTTTGAGCATTTCTTAGAAGTTGCTGTGAAGTACCGAGTTCTACATTTATTGACTCGTTTCTCCTGCAAATAGTAATATGTGAGAATTAAATTTTCATGTTATTTTTCTCTCTGCATTTTAAGATTTCTGCTGACATTCTTGGTGATTGTCAATACGATGTTTTGCAGCAGCTTGAAGACACCTACTTTCTGTAATTTGCGCTTTTTAAATTATTATCAGGAGTCTCTTTTTAATGAAATTAAAGGACGTAAGTCATGGTAGCTTGATGAATCATCACAGGAATTTTAAAACATTTCTCGTGTACCCAGCTGTTACATGACAAGCAATCCCACAAAGAGATCCCTAACTAGATCTCTTGTCAACAGTGGAATATGATTTGTGTATTGAAATAGATACTGAGATTTTTATGCAGTTAGTTTTGTTACCTTCTGATTTTTCTCTCAATCATATGATTCAGGTCAGGACTCATATGAGATTTTGTTGAGAGAACTTATTGTTTTGTCCATCACAGAGAATAACCACTGATTATCTGATTTATACATGTTCACACCTGTTTCATAAAAGAAGTTAATTACAGTCTCAGCTGTCCTCCCCTGTTCTCAAATGCTAATGAAATATTCACAGGAAGAAAGTGATGGGAGGAAGGGGAGAAAAAGTTCTTTGACGCTTCCAAATTCTTTGGCAAAAATAAACCAGCTTATTCTTTCCTATTCCATATTTCCTTACCTCAACATTAGTTTTGGGAGAGGACAAAGAGAAACCCTGCAAGCTGCAAAAGCACAGTTGAGGTTGGGGGGTGTAGAGTAAATGGCTTCTGAATCATAGTGATGCTGTGGAATTGCGGAATTAATTAATTTGAAATTTCAAGTTTTGGGAAAAAAGATGGAAAAAGTATTCCCATGCCATCAGAGAGAACAGTCAAGAGAGCTTCTCAAATATGTCAAGAACATCACCTAACTCAAAATGCATTAACTTAATAAAACCCATTTCTTTATATTTCTTGTACATCAGCTACTTCTGAATGTTCAAATAAATTTGCTTTTCTGGAATGTTAATATGTTTCTTTTAAATACATATTTCTTTCCATTTGCTTCCTGCTCTTCATTTTGTTTTCGATTATCCTGTGTATTTGTGGTACTACAAGTAGGTTATAGCAAAAAGTTTTACCTAAGTGGAAAAATTGCAGTTCTTCCCTTCAACTAAAGCTCACAGCACTTCTTGAGGGAGGAACTTGAATAACTTTTTTTTTCCTTAAACAGTGAAAAAGTAATCATATAAAATAAACATTCAGTAAATTGTCTTGCCTATTTTAAATACAAGCTGCAAACAACTGGTCCTCCACCAAAAGTGAATGCTACCCTGCCTTCTCCAAATTAACAAGCTGCACTTCAAATTCATCTTTTTTATTCTTGGATTTTGTGATAGGGCATTAAAAGGGAATTATTCCCTTCAGGATTGTGAACTCCTCTGTCAAAATGTCAGATCTTAATCATTTTGGTTTTTATACATTGAACTACTTCAGCCATTGTCATGGTCTTTCATCACTTGGACATGCCAAGTTAAACAATACTGAGATAGGAGTATCCCTTTCAGATAGCAGTCCAAAACCAGTGCAAAGCAAATAGCCCCTCTGTG